TCAGATCTCAAGGCTAATTTTACTTGCAAGGCTGTTCCCAAAATGCATTCGGAGCTTACAGTAAGTATTGAGCAGCAAACTTGTGTTTTTCCAAAGTGATGAAGCTTTTGCATCTCATTGTACTAACTTAAATTGCATATCACGGCAGACATCTCAAAATACATAGTCTTCTGGGGGCTAAGCATATATTAATACATTTTGGTAGAGAGGAATATAGGCCTACTGTCATATAGGTTATGTTATCGGGCATCCTTCTAATTCCCTTGAACAACCAAGATTGAACTTTTGAACTCTTTATAATTTCTATTATCTCGTCCAGTTAAAGTCCAGGGGAGGAAGCCCCATCATAGAAAAGAGGATACTAATGTGATGTGTGTAGTTCTTCATAGCCTCTTCATTTTGCTCTCAAAGTGCACGGAATTGATGGATTTTTAACAGAATGTAGAAAAAAATTTCTCCCGGGGGGGCATGCCCCCGGAACCCCCTAAAGGTGCTGTGTTCCCCTTGGGGCTAAGCCCCCCTTGTTCTTGAAACCTAATGACGCCCCTGTTCACAACAGATGGACTCGGCGTATTGTTACGCTTTTGCAGACATTTTAGCCCTCCTAATAGCCAAGAAATAGTCTTTGACTCACCAGTTGGTTTCAAAAACTGGAAGAAAGCATCTGAAAAAGCAGGAGGGTTTTGTCATGCAAGATTTGAGCGCCACAAGCAAGCCATGGTTGCATGGAGAGAATGCAACACTGGTTGTTGCCTTCAATAAGGAGCACAACAGACACATCAAAGAAAATCGAGAATACATAAAAACAGTAGGGGAAGTGCTATTACTGACTGCCACTCAAAACATAGCTCAAAGAGGTCATGATGAGTCTGCAGACTCAGATAGCAAAGGGAATGTTAAAGCAATTCCTGACACAATCGCAAACCATGACAATGTCACGTTGCGTACTAGGCAGAAGGAGAGAGCTGCTTCGTACGCAACGGAGCGAACAAGAATAGGTGGATCCCCGAAATAGCAGGCACTGAACAAGGTCTTGTCTATCAAATAATATTTATTACAAACGAAAAAACACCGTCAAAAGGAAAACACAAAACGCTGGTCAAAACGAGAACCAGGAATTAATGTAACGTGAGGAAAAGAAAGCGCTTGCAAAAAACGGCAACAATCGCAAACCATGACAAAGCTGTTCAGAAAAGGTTGACATCCATTCATAATGCAAAATACACAAGTAAAATTATTCAGAATGAGGCTCTGGATTGTTTATCAGACATGGTTCGAACTGAAATTGCAGAAGAAGTGAAAAACAGTGACATTTTCAGCATCATAGCAGACAAAACAAAAGATGTCACGTAAAAAAGAACAGATGTCAATTGTACTAAGGTACTACTACAATGGAGCTATCCAGGAAAGTTTCCTCCATTTTGAATCCGCAGAGAAGCTCGATGCAGCAGGGTTTAGTGAGAAAATAATCCACATACTTCAAAGTTATGGTCTACAGCAGGGGCCCCCAACCTTTTTTGCCCCACGGACCGGTTTATGTCAGACAATATTTTCAGGGACCGGCATTTAAGGTGTGGCGGAAATAATACAACAAAATAATATGGTATGAGCTGCATGAAAACTGTGGTGTTTTCGAAATATAATAATAAACACAAGGAGCGTCTAATCTGGCCGCAACACTCCAATCGCTATGGCAATGTTT